TTGTTGCTTAGATATAAAAAGGCAGATCGGAATAAAAAGGTAAATAACCTAAATCCTTTCCTCAAACAATGCAGTTTTTGGAAAGAAAACAAATCAATGAGATCATCGCCTACTATAACATCACTAAAATGGTAGACCTAGATTTTGAATGTTTTTGGCTTTGGATCATCAAAACCTTCAGGACTCAACTGGCTATGAAAGCAGTTTGTTATATTTTGCCCATTTCATGAAACGATGCCCGTTTTTTTGGTCGTTAACAGTTGGTCAAGGTAGTTCCCATAAAAACATCTACACGTTATATATATATATATTAATATAGAGGAGAGACAACACCAGGTTCCAGTTGACTCAGCCCTTACCTAGTGTGAAAATAATTTGGAACCGTCACACTCAGTTTTTCAATTGCGAATCCTTAATGAGTAGACGAATCCTGTTGAACTACGGCAGCAGTGCGCTCCGGCATTTCGACATTCGTGCCAACCTCCAAGGAAGAAACGGCCGCGTGACGCCGATCTTTGTTTGTACTTATACCACTGAAGAATAACTCTTTCAAGCGACAATGAAAGTGTACCAACATCCTTTCTTGAATCGGTCCGGTTTAAATACTTTTCAAATGACCTAATGAAATGTTGGGCACGTTTTTTTTAAACTGGTAAAAGTGATTGGTTTTGTTAACCCTGTACTTAATCATAAGTACAGAGGTAACTTCAATACAACTGTCTATTGATTTCGCGCGTACTATCGAAAATCTTGGCAACTCAAAGAGTCTCTGTCGTCATTTCGTCACCCTCTCAGCGGCATAAACACGTTAAACAAATGTTTTGTGTTTTATGTTCAGCACTGCCATTGGGCACTGTTTCAGACAGTTGCGTTCCATCGGGAAAGCCGTGTGTCAACGCCCGGTTTCGATCCTCAACCAACACTTCGGCTTAGAGAATTCGTTACCATTGCGCCATCACGGCGACACTGTCTCTTTTCCAGTGACGAATGTATCAGATGACCGGGATAGACGCGTTGACAAAAGCACACAGGCTATGAAGAAAATATATTTAGTGTTTGCTGTTATTTTAGAAAATATCAAATCATATTCAAAGTATTGTCTAACATTCTAAATAACCTAAGTCGCACTATACAACGATCATTTGGAGCAACGGTATTGCACGGTAGCAGCTCGTAAGACACGTGCATCATTGCTCTTGAGAATACATTTTTTGCAAAAAACCAACTTTGCTAAACACGAGTTATCGTTAAGTTTTTCTTTTTATTTGTAAGCTAACATTTAATTAGACCAAAATTTGCAATTCTCTACATAAGTTTAAAAAAAATATGTATATATATATATATATATATATATATATATATATATATATATATATATATATATAATTCGAATGATTATAACTTCAGGTTTCCTTTGCATATAATTAATATCTAAATTGCAAAAAACCTCTCTAATTTGTAATTTTTTCTCCACAGGTATTCGAAATAGTTATTGTTTTGCTCATTATACTACTGATAACTACAGGTTCAATAGATAAACTTTATTCAATGGCACCTTTTAGATTGGATCGTCTATTTTCTCGCGTATACTTTATCGGGTATTTAAGTATCCCGCAAGAAAAAATCTATTGGCTGCCGGCCTAAAAGACGGGTAGGGTATAGAATACCCTGGACCAAGAGGCTCGATAGAATCGAGCTTTTTGGTCCAGGCTAGCTGTTTACAAGATTCTTATAAGGATGTGCTTCCACATCAGCTGATATAATCATGTGCTCCGTTTTGTTGGGGATGAACTGTATTGCCTCGACCAAAGACCTCTCGGACACGTCATAAATTCTTGCAGTAAACCCAAGTCATTCGCGCCACTCTTATGTATTGTCAAAGAAGTCCAATTACTGACCCACGCACCATTGTCCGAACGTAACTTTTCCGTTTAAAGGTTTTAAGATGTGATGTAGAGTCAAGTTCACGACTTGATTATGGCACAGATTGTTGGGGTGTTCCGCTTTAACTTCCCAATACAAGGTCTTAGTTAATGAAATACGCTGATGTTCTTGGTCTTGCGGAACATTGTCTATAAACATCTTGAACTATTCTTTGATTGATCGATTAAACCATTAAAAAAACGTTTATTTTTGATTTGTTTAATCACAATTGACGTAGATGGATCGGCCGGAAACTTTTTGCGATACTGTCTTTGTATTTCTGCTGTATTCATACTTCCAGTAGCAATCATTTGTCAATAAATTTTCTTTATTCAAAAGTAGATCTTGGTCCATTCACTCATTTAACTACCATGAATTACACTCTAAAGAAACAATAGTAAAAATGTTATGATCCGTTGTTATTATTTATACATTTTTTGTATTAGCCTTTGCGTAGGTAGTTTATGTTTGCATACAAATATGATACTTTGTATATCTAAACGCTACTAAATTTCGTGATCAGTGAGGAAGTCTTGGATAAGCGTGACATGCTTCTTACTTTCAAATACGGAGCCGGATTCTCACTTCGTCACCCCCAAAGTTAGTATAGGGCTTTCCATTTGAACAACGAAGACGAATATTGGGGGGTCAGTTATCGGGTCCTAAGTGGCTCTTAAGTTCATTTGTTGATCCTAATTTGTAACTGTAGCTAGTCGATAAGTTCATTTCATCCAGCAAATATGCAGAATGTTTGGGATAAACTGGGATATATTTTGGTTGCTTGTTTGACGCAGCAATTACGTGTCGTCGGCTGTGCTTAGTAAAGAAGAATGCCAGTTTTGCTAGAATACCACAAACTCGTCATGACGACAGCAGGAGGTTCATATTCTAGGTATAAACAAAAATCAAGTATGGTAGAGGTCCAGTATATTTGTGCCAGACAAAACCAAGCTGAGCTCCTTCGTTGTCCGAAATCGGCGATCTACGCTGCTGCCAGTCTTCGCGGACTCTCTTAGAAGATATCTAGTAAAAGTTCTACCTTACAAGAAGAGAATATTTGTTACCAACCTTGTCGGCATATACGAAAAGCTTTGTTTGAATATCCACTCCCGAACAAGTAACATCACCCTTATTTCTACTTACTTCAAACACTCTTTACGATGTCAGCGTCGAACCCAAAGAAAATTTTGTTTGTACTAACGAACCCACTCTAGTATCTTCTAGCATAATCCATCCGTTGTTTTTGCGTGGAATTTGTATGGAAACTTGTATCCTACGTAAATAGCTTAGGGGTTTGTAAGTGAGTGGGCGAATGTATTGCTCGTTGCTTGGTCAGTCCGTCAGTTTATTAGACTATCGGTCCATTCTTCGTTCGTGGCGGAGGGCGGGGCGTAATGGGCAAAAAGTGTCTTAGCTACGGTTGCAACGGTGATGCTCCACTGCACAACGTGGGACATCACACAAGAGCGTATTCCACCACTACACAATAATGGTGGTCACGAAGCCTAGTTTCGACTAGTGCCGCGTTCTCCTTTTGGATCTTTTCACTAGTGTTCTTTCTGTCCTGTGTGCTTGTATCCAATGCCTTGCTGGCTTTACCGTTGCCCCACTTTACCCGGTTGGCGAGTTTCCTCGCACAACCCACGCCGCACTCTATTGTTGTCCATCTCTTTCTCAGCTTCGTTCAGGCCCTCTCTTTCTTCCTCACTTTTTCTCGTGCGTCACGCGGTTCCGTGCAGCAGTTCGCTCTCTGTCATCTATTGATCTCGTACCATCTCGTTCTGGCTGTCTTTCGGTAGCAAGACGTGGTGCAAAAGCCGCCTTACTGTCCTTCTCGGTAGGTCGACGGAGGGGTTCTTTCTTCAAGCATATACGGGCAGTATATATGTACTGCACACACGTATCCATGCGCACACATACCTAGGGACGTTTACCTCCTGCGGAGAATATCCGGCACCCAGAAGTCTTCAATAATGAAACTATCTTCATGGCCGACTCTTCGCTTGCAGCCTTTCTGCGCTCGCCTTGCGGGATCGTCATGACAAACCCCACTTCCCGTGCTCTGACCTCCCGTTCCAACAAGCTCGCGGCTACCTTTGGTGGAAGAATGGGAGTAAAGATGGGATGGAAATCCGAGGGAAGGGGTTCGTCGTAGTGGTGGTGGCCAGTGCGTGTCGTCCGGAATGGCTTAATTGAATTGCTTCCCCCTTAGTTCCTTTTTTCTTGACTGAACTTCTTTGAGGTTCTTTCGGTGAGCATCAACAGAGTTCCATACACGCTCCACTTGCAGCAGTAGCGTGCTGCCATTTGACACCAGCGGTCTCAGCCACCTTCATCGTGGTACCCGTTACCTTCTTACCCCACTTCCCTAACCTTACCCTATTTCTCGCTCTTTTCTACCCCCCAGTTCATGAAGGGGATCGCTGTTTCTACTGCTGCCATCCCCTGCCATCGTCCATCGCCGTCGAGGTCCTTCTTCTTGGCTTCCTCGCCTCCTTCACAACGGCGTCTCGCTGTCACCCCTAACCCCAATCCCTCCATCTGCCATCGCTCCAACGGCCCCGCCTTCCCCTCAACGCGAGCAACGGGGGCAAAGCCATCCGGGCCGCTTCTTTCTATCCCAGTTACGGCGGCTCTTGTCTCTCCCTCGCACTCTTCCAGCGGCGCCGTTAGTTGCCTCTGTCGGTTCGTTGTGCATCTGCCGGTTCTTCTGCTCAAGCCGCGTTCCGTCCTCGCTTCTCGGTCGTTCCCGGCTGTGGTGGCAGCGGATCAGCCAATGCAGGAGATAGCTCCCCTATACCCCACCAGCTCCGACAGCCTCTGAGCGCGACTGGCGAGGAGTTGTTGGGCGAGTGAAGGCGGTGTCTGTGTTCTGCTGCAGGCTAAAGAGCGCCCTTCCCGTTCACAACCCCTCCCCCTTGTAACAGCGACAGAGACGACGACACAGAGCAGAGCAGCAGCGGTCACTCCTGCTCAGTACCCTACGACCAGCCCGTCCCCTACTGCGCACCACCACGCCGTTGACGACCCGTCCCGTTTCAACCCATATTCTCCTGCTATTCCGCCTGCCAAGAGCTTTAGCCGAGAACTCGGGGAGTGGGGGGTACGGAGGGGTGTAAGTAGGGAACAAGCGCCGAGGAGAAGATTTCTCGGCGCGTCCGGACAAGAGAGTGGCGGCTGGCTCGACCGAGAGAGACACAGAGACAGACGGAGAGAAACAGCAGCGGCATGAGCGGTGGCAGGCGAGCAGGCTGGCGACGAGCGCCGGCAGTGGTGCTGGCGGAGATGTGCTGCGGGGGTGCCAAGGGGGCAGAGAACGCAGTACGACGAGGGGCGAGGGGAGAACTAGCCGCGCCAACGACCCGAGCGAGTGGTAGGTGGGTATGGCGGGCGTCCGCGAGGCGAGCGAAGTCGAGCTGCTTGTCTGCCACCACCAAGAGCACAGTGAGAGTGCGAGCAAGAGTAGCCAGCGAGAGTACGAGAGAAAGATGGCTCAGGCGTAGTAGGAGAGAGCGCTGCTGCTACGAGATGTGGGGTAGTAGAGTGAGAAGAAGAGCGAAACGGAGAGTGAGCAAGGGACGAACGAGCAAGCGAGGCCACTGCCGGCGGCGGCGGTTGCTGCAGCGGCGGTGGCGGCGACGGGAGTAGTGGTGGGTTTGCTCGTAGCTGCTGGCTGAGTCGGTCGCTCGTTCGCCGTTCGTTCGTCCGTTTGCTCGCTGGCAAAGGCGAGAGAGGCGCGGAGTGCTGCGGGCGGGTGTGCGGAGTGAGTTCGAGCGGTGGTCGCAGCGGCAGCTTCAGTGGCGGCAGCTCACGCGGGAGCAGAGTCGAGTCGAGCAGCAGAACGGCAGCAGTGGCGGCGGCGGCGGCGGCACAGCGGGAGCACGAGTGACAAGGAGCTGGCTGCGAAAGCGAGCGAGCGAACGAACGAAACGCTCTTTGGGCTGCCCCGGTGGCACCCGTCTGCCTGCCTGCCTGTCCGCCCGCCTTTTGCCTTCCCGCGTCGAGGCGAGCAAAGCCGACAGAGGCGCGGCGCGCGCGGAAAGAGAGAGGGAAGAGAGAAGGAAGGAACGCGTGGAGAGGGCGAACAGCGGGTGCCCTCCCTGAGTGGCGCACTTTCGGGTGGCGGGCAGTCAGTTGTCTCCTGGCTGTTGCGTGGAGAGGCTCGTCTCTCGTATTCAGGACCAGCTGAGTGCGTGCTTCCAAAGCGAACTCGCTACGAACTTTCCCGCCAGCATGAGTTTTATCACAAAGTGACCGGACGTCATCAGATATCGCCGTGTTATTAAAGTGTCCTCATAACAAGTAAGTTCACATAACCGTTATCATTGTTTTAATCTATTCGCAATTCTAAGATGTAAGAGTGGATAGGGAAAAATGCATTCTACATGTGAAGTTAGCTAAATATCAACAACTGTTTTATGTAACTTCAAGGCAAGACCTATTCCTAATAATAATAATAATAATAATCTTGAAGTTGCACGACAAATGACGATCAGTGAAGAAGTGCATTCCACTATTCTAGTGCATGTCGGTATGTTTAATAATACCCCAACATACAGCATCAAGTTAGAGCGTATGGGGAGTTTGTGTATATGTTCCCGTTTCCAAAACTGGCCGTGTTTATCCAAGTGTGTATATCCTTGTATTTGTATGTGTTCATAGCCTTTCGACTGCATCTTGTTCGATTGCGAACATATAGATATATGTACATATATACAGTTACCGTTTGGTTAACGATATGTGCCCGTGTAAACTTATAAGCCTTACTTAGGTGGCTACGATAGGTAGGTTAAATTGGATTGCTGTGAACCTACACACATCGACAGTTCGCCCGTTGTTGTTCCATGTGTTTACTGGCCGCTTTACTAGTCGATTGTTTCTTTTCTTATTTATCCCTTCGGTTTGCACAACGGCGTAGTAACAGTTCAGTTAGTAATAGTTGTTCTCCTCTGGAACTACGTGATGTGTGGCAAGCGACGTGTGAGACGGCGGCTGAGACGACATCGTCGTTGCCGTCGTCTCTTGTCTGGTGTTTTGCGATTGTGGCTCGCGTTGATGCTAGGAGTAGTAGTAGTAATAGCAGCTAATGCTATTGGCGGCACCGTCTTTCGTCGCCTCATGGACGAAGCAAACTAGGTAGTTGGTAAAGCTACTGGTTGGCTGAGTGAGTGACCGGCTGCCTGGCCGGCCCCCCCACCGTTTGTAGGCGTGCGCAGCCGCTACCACTGTTGCCAATACGACAATCACCGCCTTTCACCAGCCTGGCTCATTCTGTAGCAGGAGCAGCAGCTATCAATCCGGCGGCCAGCCAGCCAGCCAGCCAGCCAGCCAACTAGCTAGCTAGCTAGCTAGCTAGACCAAACAGATGACCGGCAGGCGACTGAGTTATCTGTTGCGGGCCCCGTCACTGGCATTGCCCGTTGCTGCTGTCGCGCACCATTCTGAGCTGCGACGTCGTGGTGTTTACTCGATGGTGGCTCATTTATTCGGCCCGTCGTCGCTTGCTTAGCTGCCCGACTGACCGACCGGTTGTTGGCTGGTACGTCCGTCCGTCCGTCGTTCGTTCGGTCGGTCGGTCGCCCAACGCGCACGTCTGTCCGTCCGTCTATCTATACGTCTGGCTGGCTGGCCATTTAGTTGTTGTTTCTGTGACTGCCGCTTCTACTTGTCTGCGCTCGCTGGCCTCCTGTTCGTTCGCCCGTCCGTTCATCCGCTTGCTCGCTGGTGTCAAGTAAAGAAAGAAAGAAAGCTCTTCTAGTCAGTCGGCGACCTATCGCATTTCCTGCGCGGTAGCGACGACACCGCCAGCCACAAGAGCGGCAATAGTACATGCTCGTGTGGGCCACGACTGTGCAGGCCCGTAACGTAGCCACTGCCGCTGTTCCTGATAGGGACAATGACGGACCACAGCGAGTTACACTACCACTTGTTGTAGACGTATTACAACAACCGCTGATCACAGTGGCGGTGTTGGTGCCAATCGGTGTGACCCACCGACGGACGAACAAACGAACGCGCGGTTGAACTCTGTCTGTCTACCGCCCGCCCGCTCGCCCGCCCGCCCGCCCGTCCGTCCATTCGTCTCTGACTTCTGTGCGGTAGCAGCGGCCGAGTCTTGTCAGCGCGCGCGGGATTGGGTGGCTGGCTGGCTGGCTGGCTGGCTGGCTGGCCTGCTGCTTGGATAGCCATTTAGTCAATCAGCCAGTCGGCCGGCCAGACAGGCAGCGAGCAGCCCGTGCTACCGTTCGTCTAACATCAGGATATGCGATGGATGTTCGTGGATAGACAAGCTTCCTGGCACGGTCAGCTTGGCCGCTCGAGCGTTCGCTCACTTTCTGCGGCCGGCCGACCGACCAACACAGCGAGAGCCAATTCCTATATGTGGTTAGGGTGATGTCACAGACAGGATGGTGGCCATATCAGCGCTTCTATCACAGTCGCCTCCCGACCATTACTCGTGTTTGCAGCGCTATTACTACAAATGGCACTACTGTAGTCCCTGATTGTCACCGCAGCTGCACGATCGAGCCTCATACGTATAAAATATTTGTAGAATATAAAATATTACACACTACTACCGCTTATGAGAAAAGCAGTGTGACGTGTTGTGCTTTTCACTAGCACGCCACGTACGTATCTGTTCCAGGGGATATATATCTATATACATATATATATATGTGTGCAAGTCAACGCACAGTGGAACAGCACAACTGTAGTCATCATCGCCATCACAATCACTTATCGGGAGACGGGGGAAAAGGGCGGATGGGGTGGAAGGGGGGTGCGAACGTCAATCTCTTTCTTGTCTCCGCATGTTGCTGCGGCCATCTCTATCGTATGTCTATGGCCGTATGGGTCCGTTTATTTTCCGCAACCGCCACTCTGCGGCCTGCGTATAGCTAACTTTAGGCCTTGGTATTAATAGTCGCGTTGCTAGTAGCGCTCGCGGCTATGTGAGTCTGTCTATCTATCTCGTGTATATCGGTCTGTTCATCCGTCTCTACGATTCCACTGCGTGTCCACGAGAGGCTACGAACTGGTGGACCGACGACATCCAACCCAACCCGACCCGACCGGCGGACGGATAGTAAGAAACGGCCAGATAACCAGTCAAACCAAACCGAGATCACCGATCGAGCGGTTGCCACTTCTCCTACTGTCGATGCCGCTGCAGTCGACCACAGCCGCTGCTAGGCTCTTACTTGTCCGCTTGGCCATGACAGGCGTCCGCGAGAGTAAAGCCAGACACCGCGCGCGCGCCCCAGCCAACAGCGAATCTGTAGCCTTATGTATCTATGTACACATATATGTGCACGTTCGCACAAGTACGTGTCTGCTGTCTGCGTGTCAACGTATCGGCATGACGAATCTGTGCGTTAGATGTCGATGTAGTGTCTTCCAGTGCATTCGTAGAACTGTAACAACAACTGATTAGTGATGCTTGTGGCGGCAGTTCTCGTTGCAGCGAGCAGCGACATGTCACCGTGATCAGCACCAACAGCGAGCGATCAACTGAAAGCGAATGACAGCGACTGAAAGTGGAGGAGACGGGCGGGGAGTGAACGGAGGGGGGCAATAAGTACGAAGTGAAACAGGTTGAGAGAGTAACGAGCTAAACGATAGGAGCGGCGCTAGCAACAAGTAACGCGATTCGACCGACCGGCACAGCCAATAGTTGAAAGTCTCTACTAAGCGGTGAAAAGGACCGACCGCGCCCGCTTCGCCACCAACACCACTATCGGCAGCGCTGTTGAGTGATTTGCGTTGACGACCGCCGCCGCCGCCGTGGCGGCAAAGATGCGAGCCGCCATAGCCACTGTTGTTGCCGCAGTGCTTATGCCGGTGGTCATCCTCAGCAGCAACATGATCCACAACAGACGACCGCGCTGCAGGCCTCTCGAACTCTCTCTCGTGTCGACGACTACCACCGTCATTACAACTAACACCATCAGCAAAGCAGACTTTTGCCCTGCCGTTGGCCCCTTACACCTATAACGACGGTGACGAGATTGGTGTGGCTGTCTGATCTGCGGCGGCGTTCGCTTCACTGGTCGACTGTTGGGTCGTCGGCTACTGGAACTGTATCATATCGGGTGCCGATTCGCGCAGGCCGGTCGCTGCGCCGTATATTTGCGGTTTCCCCTCAGAGACGAGTGTCGTCGGCGTGGGTGCCGCCGTGATATGTCATCCGGGGTTGGGGGGGGTAAGTTACGTTGCAAGCTGCTGCTGCTGCTGCTGCTGGACGCTGAGTGCGAGAGGACATGAAGGGAAGACGCAAACACACGAGTGACTATCGAAGCAACTGACGACGACGACGACGACGACAGCAATAGCAGCAGCGGCTATGAAACTAGTCATAAATTCCACCGAAGCGTTTGACAAGTTCGCTTTTATACATTCCTTCTCGCCCTTTGTCTCGTTCTTGCTCTGATACACTCGTGTTTCATTCTAAAATTTTAATACCTACAGTATCATACGGCCATGTGCGATATGCAGACGCATCTACGTCGCTGCGTATGAGTAACATACGTCAGCAAACGACCAATTGTTATTATTTACTTACGTTATCTTGAGAAAAAAGCATATACCGTCGGAAACTATAGTTGACCTGGAAAAAAACATGACACACGAATCAAGGAAGAAAAAATAACGAATAGAAATTGCTACAATTTGAAATTAGAGCAAAAACATAGCAAGCGAAATTAAATGCAGGAAACACGGGAAAACACATACTTCAGGCTTCATTTTTATATAAATATATATATATATATATATATGCACTATGCTGTCAGTGTGCTACATGCGGCAAGCATCTACATAAGGTATCGATGAATCATCACTAACCAGCACTGCAAAAAAAATGTTTGTCTTTGCGCACCGACGCACGCTTAGTGATGCCAGTCCGTCAAGCAGGCTATTTTTGTACATTTTTTCCATTCATGTATCGAAGCTGAAACAACAGTGATTATATATGAGTGTGGTAGCATGCGTGTTGCTTGGCCAGAGGTATGTGTCGTCAAGTGGCGGCTAGCCTGAGCGGGCAGCGGTCGGTGGTGATGGCGGCCATGAAAGTCAGCCAGAGCAAGGGAAACAAAGCGAGAGTAGATACGAGGCAAGGGCGAACGCGAGCCGGCAGACATCTGCTAGTTCGCGGATTGGGCAGGCGGCGACAGAGCTAGCAGTTGTTGCAATAACACAGACAATTCCCGATACACATCCGCCAAAACCAATGAGATCGGTGCGTACCTATTTATTTCACTGTTGTAGCTGGTGACGATGGTGTACGCCGATCATCTATGTGT